TTAGCATTAGAAACTCCACCACACAGCACAAGCTCCTCCAGGCTTGTGTTATTTATGGAGCTAAAACATCCACGTTGCAAAGCAGTGGTGGAGTCCCGTTGCTTTTAGCCAATCAAAGGCGAGATGTCCAAATATCAGGAAACTAGACTCCAAATCCTGCGTCTAACAGCTCTCCTCTGATATGGCTCACTTCTAGTTCCTGAAACAGCTGCACCAGAGCTTTTTTCCCCACAGTAGAACTTACAATCCATTAGGGTTGTCACGGTAACCGGTATAGCGGTAAACCCCGGTAAAAAAGTTGACAATAAAAATAACCGTCCAGTTTTTAAAAAACTATATTATCTCGGTGGGTTTACCGTGGCCGTGGTTTCGGCGCGATGACCCTTACCAGCCACCGTCGCTTCAGCTGAAGTTCCCGCTGCGCGCACACGCACTTTTTAGTTTGCAACGGCACCAAAACTTTGAAGCTGAAATAATGGCCGAAGGAGGCGACGGCAGCGCCCAGGACATCCATCAGCCCTCAAAGAAGACTAAATCGGAAGTATGGGCATATTTGGGATTTCTGAAAAATGCTGAGGGACAGTTAATAGAAGACGGCTATCCCGTTTGCAGAACGTGCAGGAAACAAGTGTCTGCAAAAGGCAGCAACACTTCAAATCTCATGGCACATCTGCGTGACGATCACCCACGTCTCCACAGCCAGTGCAAGGTAAGATAACATTAGTATTTTAGCTTAAATGCATGACGTGAGGACTTTTGGTTGAGGGAGAATGCAACGAGTCACTATATACTGCAGCCGCAGCGTCCTCTGCCAGCATTTAAACCGTGTCACGGACACCCTGTTGCTGGATGAAGCATCTTATTTGTTGATGATGAAGAGAAATATACAATTAGTTCCTTGTCATGGATTTGTTTACTTATTCAATGCCATTTATACTTGAACATTTGGATTTGATTACATAGTGTAGTAGTTATTTTAGTAATTTGTTTAAAGTGGCTGTTTGTTTTAAATACATATTTTTTAAGGTTGACTTGTACAGTGCTCAAGTCAAGTGTGGACTGGAGTTTTAGATTTTCATTTTGATAATGAAGAAAACAAGTATATGAGAAAACAAGTGGTGTTTCTTTGATTTGTTTACATATTGTTTATGTTTTGAATGTTTGGATTTGTATAATTTAAACCTGCACTGACTACTGTAACAAGTTCCAGAAAAATAAGCTATTTGTTCCTTTACTTGTGAAAAGTTGCACTTTTGCTAAGGCTTTGTGTTATTTTAGGTTTAATAAACACTGTTAAACCTTTTCAGAACTATTTCAGTTTGTGTAGAACAGGGCTATCAATGCTTTCTGAACATATGCAACACCGTTTAAAAAATACCGCGATAATACCGAAAACCGTGATAATTTTGGTCACAATAACCGTGAGGTTAAATTTTCATACCGTGACAACCCTACAATCCATTAATTCCTACTAGAGCGGGGCAACAGTAGCTCAGGAGGTAAAGCCGGTTGTCCAGTACTTGGAGGGTTGTAGGGTCGATCCCAGTTCCTGCCAGAGAATGCTGTTGTTGTGTCCTTGGGCAAGACACTTGGCCCACCTTTCCTGCTGGTGGTGGTGGTTGGAGGGACCAGTGGCGACCAGTGCTCCGCAGCCTTGCCTCTGTCAGTGCACCTAGGGGCAGCTGTGGCTACATCGTAGCTCATCCCCACAAGCGTGTGAATGTGTGTGAATGGGTGAATGATGCGCTGTAGTGTAAAGCACTTTGGAGTCCTTTGACTCTGAAAGGTGCTGTGCAAGTGCGGCTCATTTATCATTTACTAGAGATGTGCAAATGTATCAGATAAATTAATCAACCACACCTTTAATGCAAACCAATCTCGAGTTAGAGGGTTTTTTTTATTTTTTAGGAGACCAGGATTTTGTCTCATTATCTGAAAACATTTCACTTCTCATCTGAGAAGCTTTATTGGAAACGTGAGCAAATGAAAGATATTGAGTTTTTAGGGAAGTTTACAAGTTTCACTTGTAGCGGTCACTAAAACGGCTGTGCAGAAGGTGGTTATTTATTTGTTTGTACTGATGTAAATACTTGTGTGTGTGTGTGTGTGTGTTTGTTTTAGGTACATGGACTACTTCCCTCTGCCCTCCAACACCAGTTCAGACTACTACTTTGAGAAGAGCGCTAACTACTTTGACTCTGAGGTGGCGGCTCAGAGGGCTGCATCTCTTCTTCCCAAAGCGAAGATCATCACCATCTTCATCAACCCAGCCGATAGAGCGTACTCGTGGTACCAGGTCCGTCCCAGCATCACAGACATCCACAGCTGCTCTTTTTAAACTAAAGTCCCTGACCTGTCTCTGCTCCTTGTCTTCCCTCAGCACCAAAGAGCCCATGATGACCCGGTGGCACTCAAATACTCCTTCCAAGAAGTCATCACCGCAGGCCGTGACGCTTCAGTCAAATTACGGGTTCTTCAGAATCGCTGCCTGGTACCAGGATGGTACGCCATCCACCTGGAGCGCTGGCTCAGTTTCTACCACTCCAGCCAGGTAGTTTATGTGGTCGATCAGTCAGCAAACCTTTTATTTACTAAAGCAAACTCCATCATGTAATTCTCCTCAAAGCTGAGGAAAATCAAACCAAGAAGTCCTCCCTTGTGGGAGTTTGTGTAAAGGAAGCTTTTGTGTTCCTCTTAGAGGAGTTAGGATCCAGTTTACCTTGGTGAACGAGGTCTTCCTCACAGGAAAGCTTAACATTTAGGTTTGGGTCAGTCGCTACCAAACACAATTCTGATTCAAGAAGAATTAAACCTGATTTTCCTTATGTTTTCTAACTTCTCCAACATCTTGCAGAATCAGAGTTGAAACTATTGAAATCATAAACAGCGACAGTCACTGAAAGATTGATGTTGGAGTTCTCCTTCAGGAATAATCAATGATGTAATGGTGGGAGCGAGGGACTGCTTGTTATTTTATTCTCCAGTGGGTTTTATTGATCCGTTCATCAACACTCACAGTCTCCTGGAAGTTCTGTCAGCGGTTTTTACACTTTACCGGTGATGGTTGTGAAGTTTGTGGGATTCTGCTGCCTAATGAGCCGCTGCAGTAAACTACAGTCCATTAATGTTTAGAGACAAAACTCAGAGCGGGCTCTAGTAATGCACGGTATACACAGTATATGGCTGACATGATGGAGGTTTTTTCTCTAGCGTCCAGTCGTGTCTGCACACGTATGTTTTCAAGCCGCGTCGGCTCTGGACGAACGCAGCAGCGTGCTCGTGAAGAACGTCAGTTATACGGGCCTAGTTGGGGTTTATGGAGTCGGATGGTGAGCAGAAAACCATCCTCACTAAAATAATCTGTAAAGTCGTATCAGCATTAAAGCCACGCCATTATCCGTTCTGGAGAGCCCTCGCGAGGACGGATAATGGCGTTGCGTGTCTCCACACCAACGTAGAAGCATTAAATAGCCTTAAAGTATCTGTCCAGAGTATTTCTCTTATCCAATGACACCATCTAGTGGCTGACAAACATATCACACAAAAAGTCTGTCGATCCGATTTATTATGATGGCGGCTTCAAGTTTCTTGTTTAATTAATGTGCTTCTGTAGCCGACAAACAGAACTAAAACACGTTTTACAAGTATTAGTCTCATGTCATGTTGTGTTTTCATACATATATACATATATATTCCTACTTAAATTAAAGAATCAGGCACTTATTTATAAAATATTTATGCAGATAAGTTATATATATATATATATTAAAAAAAGATATTTTCATTAATTTTACCGTTTTGTTCAATTTTTTTGCTTTGCTAATTATCTACCTGATATTATAAGGAGGTAATTAGGGATGTTGGAGAAAATTTTTTACACTCACACGCCCAGCTCTGACGTCTCCTTGTCTTTTTCTCCTGACCCAGCTGCTAGTTTTGGATGGTCAGATGCTGAAAACAGAGCCAGCTTCAATCATGGATAAAATCCAGAAGTTTCTCGGCCTCCCCAACGCCGTCAACTACCACAAGATCTTGGCGTGAGTCTCTGATGTTACCCGATGTTTGTACATTTAGATTATTTTAAGTATATTTAAATACAAAATGTAGATGAGAAAAATGTACATTTTTTTCATGCATGCAGTCTTCATTGAAAACCCTTGAATACAAACCTTGTTGGTGTGTTTACACAACAGGGATATATTTACCTGCTCAGGTATCTTTAAATCTGAATCACTGATCCATGATTTTATGAGAATAAACTCATTTTGAGCTGAGCCTTACTCTCAGCTTAGCAGTGTGAAAGCAGACATGATGAAAATAGAGATCAAAACAAGAAATGACGTTTGTAGTTGTTAACTTCAGATGTAACTTTCTAATTTGGTGTTTCTGGTTTTTATTGAGCAGGTTTGACCCGAAAAAAGGCTTCTGGTGTCAGCTGCTGGAGGGAGGAAAGACCAAGTGTTTAGGGAAGAGTAAAGGACGAAAGTACCCTGATATGAACCCTGAGGTATGGCAATTGATACAATTATTGTTTATTTTGTAATGTTTGAGTTACTCACATTTGGTTTTGTCTCACCTGCTTGTCCCCTCTCAGTCCCAGGAGTTCCTCAGGGAGTACTACAGGGATCACAACATTGAGCTGTCCAAGCTGCTCTACAGGATCGGCCAGCCGCTGCCCAGCTGGCTCAGAGAGGAGCTGGTCCACACCAGGTAGCAGCAGCGCCGCCACAGGGAACCACCACGGCCCCACACAGACTGAACCACTGCTGCACCCCGCAGGGCTCGTCCTGCTTCGGCCAGCGGCCCCAAAGCCTGAAGACCCCTGGTTGTTTTGACAGACTGGAATAGAGCCGAGAGTAAAACATAACCATGATCTTCCAAAGCTGGGGGAACCAGGATCGGGTCAGGCCTGTGGGTGCGTGTTACTTCAGTGTGGCGCTCACCGCGGAACCTCCAGTGTTTGATAATCACAGTATCGTTGTCCATAATCAGACTTTCATCACATGAACTTGGAGCTGGGAGCCCAGGAATGGAGGATGAACTTTGTGCTGGTGTTATCTCAGCTTGATGGAAACACTATCAGATGCCTGGACAACATAATAATTATAGACTTTATAAATGTGGGCGTGACTGACAGGAGAGGGACGTGTGGAGCTGTGACTCAGGCTGCGTGCTTTAGCCTCCCTCCATAGGCCTTGGTAGAGTCTAGTATTTACATTTACAAGTGCCAGGACAGAATCTTCTTTAACCATCATCACACAAGCTGTCGGGGGTTCGTGCTTTCTTTTGTTTTATGTTTGCTCTGATTTAACATTTCTGTAATGCTGATGGAAATGCGTCTTTGTAGAATGTACCAAACCTAGACCTGGTCTCTGTTGTTTTCTCACAAGCAGGAAACGCTGTTCAGTTCTATTTATACCGCGTTTGTCTTTTTTGTCCATCTTACTGAGTCGGCCGAAGCAGGACGAGTGGGAGAGGCGCTGAAAGCACAAAGACGGGAGTGGGGATTCTGAGCGTACAGGTAACTGGAAAGCACACTAAACGGCTCCTGCTGCGATCTGTGAAGAAAACCATAAGCTAGCTACTGTATGTTCATTCAGCGATCTGCTCCCACAGACTGACATCAGTGTACAGAAGAAGAAAAGCGCATTTCAGAATGTTTTCAGCATCAGTTATGTTTTAATTTTGTCAGAACTGTATATTTTGTCTTATATTTTTTTTATTTACTAGATGAGTTTTAAAAATAAAGTCTGGGGAGAGAAAAATTAAATCTGTCTGAACAAAAGTCACCTGACCGTCACAGCGCCCGGTTACAACACACACGGGTGTTCGGTCTGTCGGTCAATTCGTTACCGTAGCAACTAGATGTCAAGCGTGGGTAACAAAAAGCTGCTCCTACTGCAATAGTTTTGTACATTGTTTTGGTGTAATAAAGATGCACATGGCGGTCTGTCTTTACCGGACTCTGATGTACATAAAGTAGACCTAAATTATTGAATGTGTTTGGGTTTACGCTCCATCAGCCCCTTCTTGTCTTGTGAAGCATCAGCGCCGCACTGACAGCAGTCGGGATCCGTTCGTCATGCAAACGTGTCGCTAAGAGTATTTTTTTCCTCCCACATCCTCTCTCACTGCCAGCGTTGTACAGAAAAGTGCAGAGTCTCTCATATAAAAGTATTAAGTGATAACGCATAACAGCAACGATGGTACTAATCTCCAGGATTGTATGATAAAGATTTGTAATTGTTGTCAATAATTTTTACAGTGTAACTAATATTGTCGGTGCTTTTTAATTTGCAAATAAAACACCACTGTATTTTTCAGTAGTTTGGTCTCTTGATTCTTACGTATTTTCAAGTGTTTATGCATTTTGATCTGGTTTGGTGGTTGTTTTCTAACCTAATTAGGCTTCACTCAACTAGAAATTATCATGCTAGGGATGCACTCGTATAAAGTTTGGGTTGATATCGATGTCTGGTATTAATACTGCTAATATATATATTGACATGTAAAAGCAACCGCACCGGCTACAGTGGGTACGGAGGTTATTCAGGCACCCGTCAATTTTTCACTCTGTTATGTTGCAGCCATTTGCTAAAATCAATTAAAACATTGTTTCCTCGTTAATGTACACCAGTACACTGGCAGAGGAAAATCTGCATTTTCTGCAGAGTTGTTAAAAAAGAACTGAAATATCACATGGTCCTCAGTATTTAGTAGAACACCCTTTTGAGCTAACATGGCCGTGAGTCTTCTTGGTAAAGATGCAACAAGTTTCTTACACCTGGATTTGGGGATCTTAAGCCATTCCTGCTTGCAGGTCCTCTCCAGAGCTGTCCAGTTGGATGGGGAACGTAGGTGGACAGCCATCTTTAGGTCTCCCAAGAGATGCTCAATTGGGTCATTGAAGAGGGCGCAACAGCACAATTAGACACTCATTTATGTAGTTTATCAGCTAAATAAAGTTGATTTGGGGGTGATTTGCTCTTTAAAAAAAAATGAGGTTTTACTTGAAATTTCTGAAGGGTGCCAAAGCAGAATTAAGCTCAAAATGTTATCAGTTTTGTAACGGTCTAGAGTTAATGTTTGCAATGTAAAAGTGGAGAACCGTGATCAGAAAACATGTTAAAGCTTCTGCCAGTAGCTCATTAAGATCACCATGGTAACCAGACACTGGTGCTTATTAGTGACGGAAATGTAAAGTAGACATTTCACCTGAAATAAAGTTTAAAATCTGTTACTCCTCCTGAAAGGGACCCCCTCGACCCCTCTCATGGACTGTTCTCCCTCCTATCTGGCAAAAGGTACAGGAGCATCACTTGCAGAACAACCAGGATGCTAAATGGATTATTTTAACTGTGAGACTGAGAAATGGACTGTGCCCCCTTCCCCATCCACACCAGCTGTGATGTTCTCCAAACCAACCCTCCCTTCTCACACACACACACACGCGCATCGAATACACACATTATTTGACCCAATGATTTCTATGTGAGCTGCCTGCGGCTAATGTGTGTGATTATGTCAGGCTTCCTGTTATCTATAGTTTATTATACATAAATATTATATATAATAAAACTATATGTTATAGTTTATATCTATAGTAATTGTTTTGTACCAAGTATTGTACTGGAGAGGCTAGTGACAAACTGCATTTCATTTCAGCCTGTGTATTTCTGCAAATACTTTGTGAAATTACAGTAAACCAATGTTGAATCTTGAAAATAACCTGAACTGAAAATGTCAGAAGTGCCTTATCGTCTCCCTTCCTGGTTTAATCCGGACAAATCATTAAAACTTTGTTTCCATGACCGAATTTAAGTTTAACAGTTTAGCAGAGAATCATAAATTCTGTTATTAAACCCGTTTAAATTTATTTTAAGAAGCCATGATCCGTTACTCAGAATGCCTTTACTTTGAGAATTTAGTGATGTTTTTGTTTGTACGTTTCAGTTATTATGCATGCTGTACCCCGCTGGCTACGTCTCCATCAATACAGGTGTTATCTTAAGGGATGTCATGGTTAACTCAAATCCAATCAGATGGACAGTTTTGAAGAAAATGGCTGAAGTGGAAGTTTGTGAGTTTGGGGGGGACACCCTGGAGGGAGCTGAGAAAAAACCATCTGTCCTTAAGTTTTTGAGAGACACCGAAAGAGGAAAAATGCCAACGTTTTATTAAATTAACTAAACTAAATATTCCAAATACAGAGTAAGAAGTGCTTGCTCACATTCACAGGGTCACACCATCACACAGATCATTGTGCTGTAGACTGATGTGTAAAAACTCAAACACATCTGAATACATCAAAAGTCCAATCGTCTCACCCGTTTAAACTCAGAACCGCAGATTCTCCTCGCTTCTCAAGCTCCAAAGAGGGCTTGATTTTCTCACTCGCTTTCCCCGAGTGTGGAAACTAAGATTCATCGTGATTTTTGTCTGAACCGTTCAACTCACTGACAAAAAGTCACAATAAAGCTGCACACCGTGGATTCTTCCAAGAGTGTGAAAGAGACAGAAACCCAAAATAAAGATGCATGGGCTTTGGTACCATTAATAAGCATCAAGTGATTCCTTATTTGTCATTTAAAAAATCTTTTCATTTTCTCATGCAAATCTGCACAATTTGTGTGTTAATCGTAAGATTTTAGTCACTTCTGCTTGTTCCTGACTAGTGAAAAATCCAGGAAATTAATGTTTCTATCCAGGCTCATAACTACTCTCCAGGTAAAAACACAAAGGCCCGCTATCAACCATCAGCAAGTGAATAAAAATAAACATCGCGTTTCAAAAAGAAACAGCATAAAGGACACAGAAGTACAAATGTGCATCCAAATATTAAACACATACTGCATATTGCATTGATGTTATTGTGTAACAGGATAATATAATGCCAGTACTAGTTAAACTGAGGGTGACCTACGGTAGCATCTGGGATGTCTCAGTCAGCCTCTGAAGGAGCTGTCCATGTTCTCCACAGTGGAATGTAGTGGGTGGGAGTTTTCTTTTAAAAGATGGAAGCCATCTTCGCCACCATCCTCTTTTCACACATCTCCTCAACTGAAGGTGGAAGCCCAGAACTGAGCTGGCTTTTTAACTAGCTCGTCCACGCCCTTCCTGTCTCGGTCAGAGCTGCCTGCACCTCTAAAGAGTGGATAACAGAGCCAACCATAGAGTGATAAACGGATTTTAGCAGATGGGAATTAACTCTGAAGGACCTCAGCCTCCTCAGGAGGTGGAGGCGGTGTTTGCCCTTCTTATAAAGAGCACCTGTGTTGTTGGATTAGTTCCATTTGCTGTTGAGGTGAACACCCTGGTACTTAAAGGTACCCACCACCTCAATGTCATCATGCTTTATTCACACAGCATTATGGTTCTCTTTCTTCCTGTTTTACGATCCAATAATAACTTTAATTTTAGAGTTTATTGTTTCCTAAACCTAATTTATTTAAATGAGTAATATATTTCCTGCAATAACCACAAACAATAAAACATTTCTCACTCAAGCACAACAATAGTAAACTCCAGGCCTTTGGTCTGAAGTCTGCCTCTATCAACAGGTGATGATGTTAAATCTGACCAATCAGAGCTCAGATCCGTCCGACACAGAGGTTTTTTTGACTGGATGAGGTACACTCTCTTCTTCATTCAGAAGGTGTTATACATTTAGAGCAGCTGAGTCCATCATCAGTTTGTTGCTGTTGAAGCTCAGAGGAAGATCCAGCAGGGATGGCCGACTCTCAGAACGATGCTGCCCTGGCCAGAGGAAGCCTGGCCGGCAGTGAGGAGGCTCTCATCACTCCAGTAGCACCAAGAGGGTGAGAGGAAACTTTCATGCTTTTATCCACAACAGCAGGTGCTTTATAACAGCTGGAAGAATTAATGATTAGTGCATGTGTGATGAGAATTTTTCAGTAAATCAGAATAAAAACTTGAAAACAACAGATTTACAGCAGCAATGTGTTCTCTTCATTTGTAAAATGACCTGCGTTAGGATTTCTGAGTATGAGCAAATTTAATTATTTTAAATTTTCAAACTAATTTACATCAATATGTAACTGAGGCGAGTTTGTAACACACACAACCATACCAGACTCCTAATTTCTCTCTGCAACTTCTGCCTAGCAGATAGTGACGTCATAATATAATAAAAGTTTTTGTTTCTATGATCAAAACAGTTTATTGATCATAATAAAATAAATTGCTTTGGTATGATGGAATCACTTATAATATTTTATAAATCTGAAAACAAGCTGCTCCTCATAATAAAGTTAACTTCTGCGGGTCACCAATAGATGGAATCTGCCTAGTAACTAGTGACGGTCGCCTGCGATTGGCTGTTGCATCAGGATAATGGCTCCTTTTTGTAATTATTACTTTAAACAATGCCTTCAAGTGTATTATTTACAGTTTCTGAACTTTGGTCAAAAATCAGCATTAGCCAGTCGAAGTAAAAATGACACATTTGGTCATTCTGTTATTTAAACTTTAACTTTTAATGTTTTGTTAAAACAGCAGAAATATGTTCTCAAGTTTTTAAAAGAACGAAGTAAAGTATAAGTTAAAACACTTTAGGGATTTTAAATTTCTTACTATTTGAACTGAATGACTATTGAATACTGTAGCAGCGGAAGTAACAGGAGGGGCAGGAAGTGCCATCTTTATAAAGAATCATATTCTGAGATTTTAGGAGTAATTGTCTCAATTCCTGAGATTTCTGCGTGATGTTCCTTTACCTTGATAAAAATCAAAAGCTGGGTCTTTCTGTGGTTACAGTACTACCCTTAGTTATCATGAAAATGATTCCACATTTACACCCCTTTAGAGCATTTTCTATATTTTATTAGTAAAATACATTATTAATTTAAATAAAAACTATTTATTTAAATCTTTATAAAATCCACACCAAGAAAAAAACTTAAGTTTTTCTTTTTTAAATGTATTCAATTATTTTTTTATGTTTATTTATTTTAAAAATGTGACAGTTGCATAAGTTACAGATCATAATGTTAAAGAATGTAGCTTAATAATATCAAATAATATTGTTTCACTATTAAATCAAACACCTCAGGAATAGTTTTATATAGATATATATTTTTTATAAAAGTAGTTGTAAGTTAGTAAAGCTCTTAACAGCCGCTCCACCAGAACAGTGGAAGGGACAACAGATGAGACGTCTGAGGTTATTCTAGCTAATTTCAGGTGAAGCAGGTTTATGAAAATCACTGGACTGTCCTGAATCGGGGTTTTAAAACTCCCCGTTTGAAAAATCCCCTCAGATCAGTTAGGTTCAGTAAGTAGGAGGCTGGATTCTCACTGTGGCCTTTTTAAAATGTGTCATCATGATGTGTGTTTTCCCCTCATCCAGGCTGGTTCTAGTTACCGTACTAAACCCCAGACTGGTTCTAGTTACCGTACTAAACCCCAGACTGGTTCTAGTTACCCGTACTAAACCCCAGACTGGTTCTAGTTACCGTACTAAACCCCAGACTGGTTCTAGTTACCGTACTAAACCCCAGACTGGTTCTAGTTACCGTACTAAACCCCAGACTGGTTCTAGTTACCGTACTAAACCCCAGACTGGTTCTAGTTACCGTACTAAACCCCAGGCTGGTTCTAGTTACCGTACTAAACCCCAGGCTGGTTCTAGTTACCGTACTAAACCCCAGGCTGGTTCTAGTTACCGTACTAAACCCCAGGCTGGTTCTAGTTACCGTACTAAACCCTGTCTCCTTGTTGCAGCGGCTCCAACAGCCGGGCCTTGAAGATCGCAGGCTTGACCACGCTGGCCTGCCTGCTTCTGGCCAGCCAGGTCTTCACAGCCTACATGGTGTTCAGCCAGAAGCAGCAGATCCATTCCTTGCAGAAGAGCTCAGAGAAGATGGGCAAACAGATAACACGCTCATCTCAGGGTAAATAAAATGACTCTCAACAGGAACAGGAAGTGAGTGTCTTTTTAAAAATAGACAAAGAAGTGAGGTCTCTTATTGACTAGTGGAGGAGGAAAAATCTCCCACCTCAGATATTTGAGGTTTGCACAAGCACATCTTCCTTTTCTGGTGAAAAGTGAATTTTCTTTGCTATGGTGCAGTCGTGTCCCCTGTGAGGATGGCCATCTCCATGAGCAGTCTGCCCCTGATGAAAGACTTCTCAGAGGAGGACGCCAAACAGATTCCCCTCTCTGTAAATCCACGCTCACGCCTCACCATATTCTACGGTTGTTCACGTGTAAGCCTGAAATAATCGGACTGCTCTGTTGTTGTCAGAAACTGCAGGACATCGCTGTTGTCAGTGTGGAGAAGCAGCTAATGGACCTCATGAAGGTACCGTGAGTTGTGTCCTCGTCCTGCTCTTGCTGTGGGTTGATTGTGTGTGTGTGTGTCACTGAGCCTTCGCTGGTTGTGAGCAGGACATGAGTCTGCCCCAGTTCAATGAGACGTTTGTGGCCAACCTGCAGAGCATGAAGAAGAGGATCAATGAGAGCGAGTGGCAGGTGAGGACTCAGCTCAGGTGGAAACCAAGGGGACTAAAGCTGTGAAGGAATCAAACAAATTGATCCAGTTTGTGTTGCTCCCTGCAGAACTTTGAGTCCTGGATGCGCTTTTGGCTGATTTTCCAGATGGCCCAGAAGAACCCAGTACCCCCCACCCCCCAGTCAGGTTACTGCAGCTCTTTATATTTAGTACTTTTGTTTTTGCCTTCACATGTTCTTGTTAACTAAACACATCGCGAAATCAGGCATGGATATGAGTCAAAATCAGAAAATCTTCATTTAAGGAAAATCTGAGACTTGATTAAGTTTAGAGTCATTCTTATTCTAGAGGAACGCTACAGCGTATTAACTCAGCAAAACACAGTAAGAGCAATAAGAAAGTCAGTCTGAGCTGTAACAATGGTCCTCAACAAATCCTTCTATGTACCAGTAGCTTTAGGCCTCAGTCTGCAGGGTATTTTAGTTTTTTTTTTTTTTTTGTTGTTGTTGAAGAATTGCTACAAATTTCTAATAGGGAGCCTAAGTCACGCCCATCTACTTCCAGACCATGGGTCCCCGGAAGAATAACAAAATGAATGCAAGTAAATGGGGCTAAAAATGCTATTTTCTAATTATGTTTATTTATTTAGCAGACGCTTTTATCCAAAGCAACTTACAATTTATAACCTATAGGGCATGTTGTGATCTGTAGGGGAAATCGGAGTACCCGGAGGAAACCCACGCATGCATGGGGAGAACACGCAACTCCATGCAGAAAGGCCGCAGCCGAGTTTCGAACCTGCAACCTTCGTGCTGCGAGGCAACAGTGCTAACAACTGCACCACAATGCACCCTGCTTGTTATGCGCCGTGGATTTCACATATGATGTCCGTAAATTTTAAAGATGCATTTTAATACAAAGAATCTGCTTCTTTTCAATGGGGATAAACGTTATTTTAGGTTTTGTGTGAAAATAAGTCCAGGACTATAAATGAGCTTCACGAAAAGGACGTCATCAAGCCAGACACGGAGGAAAACAGGGAAAATGGCTGTACGTTCAGCAAACTTAAAATCCTTCCTTCAAGAGGAAAGAACCACCATAAATATGGCCATGTGGTAAGTAGCAGCTACGCTAGGGCAGTTCTTCCGAGGACCCATGAGCCGACCAGAAATGGAGGAGACTTAGGCTCCCTATTTCAGTTTGACAGTAAAATGAAGGACTTGGTAAATACATTTAATTACATAAGTAAACATGACATTTTATTTTACTTTGAAAAGCAGGGCCTGTCCGAGGAGAAGATGTCTTGTAAGGAACTAAAGTTAGAGCTGACTGAGCTAAAATGTGGAAGTGCCTGAGGATCAGCCACAACCAGGGTTGGATAATGAGGATCAGAGCTTTAGTCTAAAAATGTTTCTGCTGATTTCTTCCGTAAATAATCAACAACAAAAAACAGTAAAAGAGTCAAAACTACATCTAAAAAGTCACACAGGTCAGGTGCTTTTATTTATGAAAAAAAAAGTTTATGTAAAGTTTCATATGAAGCAACTAGAGGCGGGCTGCATCATATTTATGATAAAATAGTATTTTCCTTGCTTGGTAAACATAAATCATAATATGCTAATTTCATGACACAAACAAATCTCTTAGTGGATTTCACTCAGTTGGTCATGCAGTGCAGAGCATAGCATCTGCTCATACCAGTAAGTAGGGACAGAAACATGGTAGTTTCTGGTGCATTTTGGCTGCTGCAGGCTCCCGTAACCATTACCTGCTCATGCGGGGTTGTCGGCCGTTCTCCACACACACACACACACACAGGAAAAGCTAAACCCGGTCTAGCAGCTATGGTGAAAGGCTCACTGGAACATAAAATAACCCCTCAAATTAAAAATTTGCTAAGCTAAATGCTAAGTTAAGGTCAAAACATTAAACCAGAGATTTTTGTGATTCTAGAGATGAACTTTTCTGTAAGTTTTGTCAACAATCATGTAAGAATATCTGTGATGACTGTTTAGAACAGGGGTAGGGAACCCTGATCCTGGAGAGCCACTGTCCAGCATGTTTTAGAGGTTTCCCTGCTTCAAAACACCTGATCTTAATCAGCAGGTGATTAACGGGCTTCTGCAGAGCCTGATGTGCTGCTGCAGAGGTGAATCAAGCAGGGAAATCTCTAAAGCATGCTGGATAGTGGCTCTCCAGGCCAGGGTTCCCTAGCCGTGGCTCAGAGACAGAACCGCAGCTACTAACGTTAGCGACGCCTGCTAACTGTAGAAGGTCACTTGTTGTATAAACATCATTAGGTCATCTTGTCTTGTTGAAATGTTATTCAATTATAGAATAATTCTTGGGTTATTGTCCTGTGCAGTAACAGTCACATGATCATCTTGCAATAATGCTCATAAAACACTATTACTCCATCATTTCCCTACCTGACGATGATGAGTCTGATGCATCATCTGCATTCATGCACAGACTGATACTTGATTTTTATGTTTCCATCAGTGTAAAACAAGCTCAGTTTGCAGTAAATAATCTGCACCTTCCTAATGTTCCACAGCCTCGGTGATCAAGACCCAATGCCAGATGGATGCATTATCTGAAACCCGCAAGATTGGTAGCTACAAGCCCCAGTGTGACGAGCAGGGCCACTACAAGCCCATGCAGTGCTGGCATGCCACCGGCTTCTGCTGGTGTGTGGATGAGGCTGGAAACCCCATCCAGGGCACCGAAATGCGCGGCCACCCAGATTGTCGCAGAGGTAGACACCACAGACATTACAGAGGGCTTTTATTCTGAAGGATGAGCCAAACTGATGCATTTCTGTTTATTTTTTTCAGGTGCATTTATTCCTCGCTACAGAGTTGCACCCATGCCGATGCAGCGGACCATCAGCTTGGACGGTGAGCGCTTCTGAAAAAAGGGTTTTAATTACATTTGCAAAGATGTCGGTTGTGATTCGTTGTTTCTTTTCTGCTTTCAGATGAGTAAAGCAAAGGAAGCAAAGCACAGAACATGGTGTTTCTTTTTCTGCAGGCGTGAAATTGACGCTGATCCATAAACTGTAACAGTCATGATTTGTATTTCTGCTGCTCTCACATGTAATCATTTTTATGTTATCTTTAAGCTGCTCGAGCTCCAATCAGAAGAAAATTGTTACACGCATGCCTTCAACATCTTTTTGTTTTGGGTTATTTTCATTTAAATAACTTTAGTAGAATAAACTGTTTTGTTGTTTGTTGCCGATGAGAGTTTAAATGGTGGGTTTGCCCAAATCCTGCTCTACCCCCATCTAGAGTGGAGTTTAGATTTCTGCACGGATCCAACACGACCAAGAGATCCAGGCGGTTTAGTGCCTCAGAAAACGGTCCGTGCTCGTTGCAGAAGTCCCTTGTAGCTCTGATGATCCACAGACCTCACAGGGAATGACTTTAATGGAGACGTGTTGGCTGTGCGGTCTGTGGGCCCTCAGGGTAAGGGGACTCTTTCTCTTCAACGAGGCACTGTTAAATCACTTGGCTGTTTTATGTTCATTCTGTTGATCGAACATCTGAATAAAGTCAAAGCTGCTTAGATGCAACAATCACTCACTCGTGGTTTCTGCTTTCAGTTATTTATTTACTGAGGTGTGCTCAAATTAAAGAAACAATGGCATTTAGAGGATTTTACCTGAGATGTGCACATGAACACATTGGCTTCTTGCACTATATTTTATTCTCTTTGATCTGTTTACTAATCAGACACTTGATATTAACTTAATTTTTCTTTTTTTAATTAATTTTCTTTAGTTTTTAGTAAATTTGTCTATTTTTATTTTAGTTTTAGAACACAAAGTCAGGTCACAGGAGTTTAAACTGGTTTTATTTCAATGCTGTGCTAGATGGCACTACAATTTTATATTGGTGATGAAGCAAATGAACCACTGTGATCTGTTTTGATTTGCTGGAGTATTAAGCAGCTTTTTCTTTAAATTGCAAATATGTCACTTGTTATTCTGAACCATCAACTTTGCAGAATTTTCTAGCATAACGTAGAAACTCGTTTACAGTTTTATGAACCAGTAGATCTGGGAGTTGAGGCTAGAATCTTCCAGTTACTTTGCTAAAGAGAATCGTTCGTTTCTGGAAATTGACTCGATGAGTTGTCGGGTTTGTTTCTAATAGTCTGATTTAAAGCTCAACAACACAGTTAAAAATCTGATGGCGTTCCTTGATCATACACTGGTGATTAAATAAAGGACCTTTTTCAACATCTGGCTGCTGTGGATGCTAACATCAGATGTTACCTTTAGGTGGTCTTTGACCCATGTGACCCTTTAGCTCATTAGAGCCCATTCATTTAAATGATAATGGTGTTCTGTTAAAGTTTGTTGCAGCTTTATATTCGAGTCTTAATGAAATCCAGAGTGGCTCTTGCGTGTGCGCATGCATGCATGCGTGTGTGTGTTGTGTGTGTGTGTGTATGTAACACATTCTACAAAGTGGCCTTGTGTTGTGGTAACAGAGCCCTAAGCAGCGTGGAGCAGCTCGGATGTTTTCTGTGCTGATTAGTGTGAGACCGTCATGCTTCTCAGCAGCACATATGGTCTTTCTGAGATGCCAGAAAATGTCTGAGCAGAAGTGCAGCAGCTGAGAACATGCAGCCGTCTCTGTCGAGGGGGCTCAGAGGGACACGGTACCTGAAGTTTGACAGAAGTTGGGTTTGTTGATGTTTGCAGCACGCATTTCTGTGCGGGAACTGTTCCTGTTCTAATGGCTGAAGGAATATTTAGTTTCATGCAGAAGAAGGAAAGTGAAGGAACAGTGGGCACACAGGATGACTAATGCTAGAAAGGAACGAGACAAGACTACCGCTATCTGTGGAGCCCCAATGGGGACACTGGAGACAAATAAAATAGGAGACAGGAGAAAGTTTCTCGTGGCAGTTTTATCAGGTGTGCACCAGAAAAGTTTTAGAATTACATTTGAAATGTGAAGTTTAACAAGAGGAAGAATTTCCCTTGTTGCCCCTGAGTTTGTTGTGTTTTCAGGATATTAACTCTCCTCCTCTATAGGAGCCTGAGGCTGTTTTCACACTATTCACTCACCCACTGCACTGGGTTCACTACTTCCATCACAGAAACATCTTCTTTACATTTCCGACCCTAATTGACAACCTTGCTTCATATTTGTATGACACATTTTCACAGGTAGTATTTGCAACGTGCCCTGTAGTTTAAAAGAAAATAATTGGAGAAAGTGCCTCTTGTGCACACCAGTAATAATCTGGTGCTCATAATAAAGTGGATGTGCACAAACCCAGAGATTTCTGATGTGCATGAGACACATTCATGAAAACTTCTCTAATGGGTATTTATTATTGTGCCCAATGTCCCTTTAAATATCCTGCTTTTAATTATTTCATGGTGTTTCCTCATTTTGAACATTTAATTATCTTTGGGCAGCAGCAGCTCAACAGGTTGAGCGGGTTGTCCAGTAATCGGAAGGTTGCAGTTTCGATCCCGGCTCTGGACAGAGAATTCTGCTGTTGTGTCCTTGGGCAAGACACTTAACCCACCTTGCCTGCCGGTGGTGGTCGGAGGGACCGGTGGCGCCTGCGCTCGGCAGCCTCGCCTCTGTCAGTGCGCCCCAGGGCAGCTGTGGCTACATTGTAGCTCATCACCATCAGTGTGTGTGTTACGTCCCCGGCGTGAGACGGTAAAATGTGAAGGATGGGGGTAACATAAGAACTGGCGGAGGAGTTTAAAATGGGTTTATTTGTACAAAAAGGTATTAAAACACAAGCAAACAGATAGCGAGCATTATTAAGATAATGCTAAACAAAAATACTCTCAAAGTTTAACATTAAAAGAGCAGTTACCAACATTAAAAACACCTGGTTAAAACTTATTAAAAGTTTCACCAAAACAGAAGGTGTTTCTAAATCCACAAAGTTGATAAAAGTTCTAAAACAATTCATTGACATAAAACACCTGGTTACAACTTATGTTAAAAGTTTTACCGGAGCCGAAGGTGTTATAAAAACGAAGTCAATAAAATTGCAACAAACAAAGTTAACCTTAAAAACCAACGAACACAGTCAACACTAGGTGACATGCACAAAAGATCCATGTGGATCACTCAGAGTTAAAACTACCAAAGTTAAAACTCTTCAACTCAAAGGGGTTGAAAACAAAATGAGGCCTGGAGGACAGCAGAACCCCTGCACTGCTGCCTCCCAGACTGCTGAAGGCTCAGCCTTTTTATCCTAGGTGTGGCTCATCAGGAGGATGCAGCTCAGCTGATCCCCAGCAGCCTGGAAGAGAGGAGGAGGGGCGGTGTCCAGTCAATCACCAGAGCTGGGTGATCCTGGCTGCTTTTTCCCCTCTTCAGGCTGGCAGTGGGTGTGGGTCATTTATCATTTAAGTATTTCAAATTTTATTGGGTAATTACAACAATATAGTAACAGCAGTTTAGTTAGAGTCACATGAGATACAACAGGTTTTCAGTCATTTTAACCCTCTCAGGCTCAAAATAAGTTTTGATAAAAGGATGAACAACTTCCCCAAATTCCACTACCTCCGCTCCGCTGCGCTCCGCTCCGACACGAACGCCGGAGCAAAATCGGTCCCGTTCTAGTCAATCAGAGCAATTCCACTACTGCGGCCGTGCTCCGGCAGTGCGGCGCCGTGCGCCGCCCTCTGTTCCGGCGTCCGGCAAAAATAGAATCGATCCTATTTTTGCCGGACGCCGGAGCACCTCCGCAGTAAATGGACAGAAATCACAACGGCCCAACAGGAAAAGGAGCAAGCACATCTTCCGTTTTTCACAATAAATCGCTAAACAAAAGGCGTTTTTTGTTTCATATGCACAGGTTTAACAACTTTTAACAACTATCAATGGCGGCTGAAGTTTAAATGCACAAAAGTAAGCCATAAATACAGTTTCCACTATCAAAGTAGTCACACTTTGTTGATCCAAACACTGCTGATCTCTCTACACAATGATGGGCAGATTAAACAGCTCATGCCGATGCTTCTCCCGCACAACGGGTGTTTGGATATAACTTCCGCGTTTATTGCTCGGACTGTATTGCAAGATCTCGAAAATCCCACGCATGCTTGTTTGCCCCCCTCAGGTCTCCGCACCGGAGCGGAGCCGTTGTAGAGCGGGTACCAGTAAAAATTGAGTTCGGAAGCGAGCGGCTGCGGAAGGCGGGGGCGGACCGGAGCGGAGCGGAGCGGAGGTAGTGGAATTTGGGGGTAATTCCACTACCTCCGCTCCGCTCCGCTCCGCTCCGACACGAACGCCGGAGCAAAATCGGTCCCGTTGTAGTCAATCAGAGCAATTCCACTACTGCGGCCGTGCTCCGGCAGTGCGGCGCCGTGCGCCGCCCTCTGTTCCGGTGTCCGGCAAAAATAGAATCGATCCTATTTTTGCCGGACGCCGGAGCACCTCCGCAGTAAATGGACAGAAATCACAACGGCCCAACAGGAAAAGGAGCAAGCACAACTTCCGTTTTTCACAATAAATCGATAAACAAAAGGCGTTTTTTGTTTCATATGCACAGGTTTAACAACTTTTAACAACTATCAATGGCGGCTGAACTTTAAATGCCCAAAAGTAAGCCATAAATACAGTTTCCGCTATCAAAGTAGTCACATTTTGTTGATCCAAACACTGCTGATCTCAACACAAATGATGGGCAGATTAAACAGTTCATTTCGATGCTTCTCCCACACAACGGGTGTTTGGATCTAACTTCCGCGTTTATTGCTCGGACTGTATCGCAAGATCTTGAATATCCCGCGCATGCTTGTTTGCCCACCTCAGGTCTCCGCACCGGAGCGGAGCCGTTGTAGAGCGCGTACCAGTAAAAATTGAGTTCGGAAGCGAGCGGCTGCGGAAGGCGGGGGCGGACCGGAGCGGAGCGGAGGTAGTGGAATTTGGGGGTTAGTCCTTCAGGGGAACTTCTGAGTTAAATATGCTCATGAAGTACGTACGTGGAGTAACCAGGTAGGTAGGCTTCAACATTGCTAATCTGCAACGTCTGCCTCCAGAGGGTTAAACAAATAGCTGTTTTGTAAAAATGTGTGATCTAGGTTACTTATTTCACTTTGTCTACACATCTCTTCAAATTCAGATAAATGCTTTTAAATTCTTTGGTTTCACATTTTCATTAAGCTAAATCATCACTAAGATCCCTCAGCAGGAGGGCCAAAGGGGGGTCCAAGCTTGCTGTTAGGGTGGCACTGGCCCACCCTGGACACACCCTAGGACCGCCCCTGATTACCTCCCTCTTGTTTATGATTATTTTTATTTCTTTTATTTCTCTACTTTTCCTTGTTAAATACTGTTAAATTTTTCAACATTTTACTAATTATAAGAATTATTTTCTTGTAAAAATGTTTTGTTCCTTTATAGGCTGGTTGTTTTTATCAGTATATTTATTAAAACAAACACGTACATTTCATCTATCTCCATTTCTCAGTCAGGTGTCCTCTGTTTAATAACCCTTTAACTAATTAAATAAAGTCGATGTATTTGTTTTTCTAAGTCAAAGAGCCCAGTTGTGACCTTTTTCCTCCACCTTTAGCTGTTTGCTCTGAGAGAAAGTGGATTCTGTCTCATTAATAATTCAGCCTGTCGTAATAAAATCCAGCTCAGGGAGTAGAGGCACACTTCAGAAGAACAGGATGGACTCTGGTGTACCTGTAAGTATGCACCCACAGGGCTAAAATATGTAGTTAGATGTTGATTAAAGACATGAAGAGGACTTCCTGATGATCTTCCTCCCTGACAGGTACCTGAGCCGGTGAGAGTGGGAGTTGTACTGGTGACAAACTCAGGTAAAGAACCAGCAGAACTCTACTTTTTCTATTCTGAGCAAATTAAAAAAGGGGTTTATGTTGTGAGCAGAAAATGCAGACTGTGTTGTCGACGCAGAAGGACGTCGAATTGACTACAGATCGACAACCAATGAGGCAAGAGGTCACAGAGTCAGGCCATCTTCTCCCTAGAAGCTTCTGCAGATTAAATATGTTTTTTCTTTTAGGATTCTAAGTCCTTCATATTTGACCAGGTTGTGGGAGCTGACCACATGGAGGTAAAACACAGCTGACTCTAATCCTGATTTACAAGGTAAACTAAATAACCGATCTTAAATGTTTAGAGTCTTCACTCCGAGCTGCTGCAGACTCTCCCTCAGTCCACATTCAGCAGCTGTAATGGAGCGTTGCTGATGTGTGGCGCGTCCACAGAGACCGTCAGAGCCCTGACCGACCAAAGGATCGTCAGAAAGGTGGACCCCAAGATCAAGCTACACCAAGCATGAAGAGATTTGATGTTTTAGTGATTTTTTCTAAAGTTCTGACTCTGTTTTAGGTCCTAACAAACCTGTTTAGTTGCATTTCATCACGAGCTGCTGCAGAGGTCTTCACCTCTGTGTCTTTTCTTCAGGTTTGTCTCTTAATGAATATTAGCACACCCTAATGCTCGACCTAATCTGACACAGGGTTTTGTTATTGTGACAGTTTTACCCAGATGGGAGTGCCGTGGATCTCCTGAGCCTCAACAAAGAGAATTTGCAGCTTGTGACACATCCTGCTCTTGGGAGGTGTGTCTCCATAAAGGGATACTTTGTAACTTTTTCATGTTTTTAAATCATTTTCTTGAGCCAGTAGGTGCTAAAATGGCCCTTTACAGGGTTAACGAAAGGCCACCCAGTCGCTATCGCCCCCTGTGGCCAGAATATTCCACTTGCAGCTTCAGCCTGGCGGCTGCTCTGTTGGGACTTTTGAGCTGACATACCTGGTGCTGCAGTCTGCCTCTAGGAGGTTTCCTGCATGTTTTAGATCATGAAACAGCTGATTTGTTTAATTTAGTGATCACTCACTCCTATTGACCCTTTGCACGTGACGTCACGCCACTCGTGTGACCGCCGCCTTCGCCATGATGGACGGCAAAAAGACCGTTTACACCCGTTGAAACTCCAGTGAAGCTAGTCACAACAAGCCTTTTATCACATTTATTTAGTTGATTTCACAGTAAAATGGTTTTAGCTTGCTGCGTGGTTGGCTGCGCTAACAGACAAGGATGTAAACTCAACTCGTTTTGTTTTTTAATAACTTTGATGGAGACTGAGGACGGAGATGAATTGCAGTGATCAATCAAGCGGACTAGCAGCCCTCAGATTTGAAGTGAACATGTTTTTACCGGGTAAGATTAATGTTCATTTATTTCACGAGGAAGACAGGGACAGGGATAAATGTGATGTGTTTATACAAGTTATTGATAATCCTGATGGATGGGTATTTCACCATGGAGGATGCGCGCCGTCCACTGTAGAGTAATGCGAGATAATTATTAACAATATTAAACCTCCGATGTATGATTACGTGTGTTAAAATTACATTATTTATTTATATGAGCGTCAGCGTTCAGAGATCTTCTCATTCCGGTGTGAGAGCAACATGTTTACATCGGTGAACAGCTGCAGAGAGAACGTAAGCTAACGTTGGTAAGCTAGTTAACATACCGCTCTCTATGAGCCCCCGCTAGATGCGCTACTTCTGATAACAAAACTGGGCATGAACTAGCTGAAGGAATGCTGGAGGAGTTTTGTTTTTGTTTTGATCGCAAAAACAATTTCAGGCTCTACTTTTCCCGTTGTTTAGAAATCGTGTCGCTTACTGTTTACATGCTTTTGCTGTCCAGCACATAGGTCCAGCATGGTGGATCCACGTGATTAGGTGATGTTGGTTCAAAGGGACACTAGGAGGACTGTTGAACAGTCCTTCCTGTTAGGAAGGCTGGGAGACATTTCAGATCTGAGATCTAATGCTCGTGCTTGATGATTGACAGCTGCCCCCTGGTGGAAACGCAGCGCTATTGGTCAACGCGTTAGGCTTGCAGAAATATCGGCTGAGCTCTACAGGGCAGGGGAGGGACTTAGGAGAAAATTGAAATATTAAAGATTATTTACTTTTTTTAATAAAATTGGGTCAGATGGTCAAAATAAAACATTTTTAAAGTTATTCTACATTTAAATCTTGCAGACTGTGCCTTTAATCAGATTAAGACAAACGCACAGCGAGGAGATTCAGTTCTACAAATGGACACTAGGGGGTGCTAAAAGCAAGCCAAAACTCTCTAGTTCCCCCTTTCATAAGTAGCACAAATTCCCAAACACGTCAAACTCTGTGGTTTAGATCATGCCGGACAGGAAGTCAAACACAAAAGCAGGGTAAAACATCTGGAAACTTTCAAAATAAAAGTCACATGCAGGTAAACGTAGAGAATTTTCTGTTAAAACCCCCGTAGCTGATGCAGAGTATAAAATAAACCATAGAACTTTTTTGATACATCCAGCTGTCTTTCTCCTTGCTTGCTATTGTGTGTGGAGTTCTGAAATTTGTGGTGTTGCAATTCTCCCGTGATTTTGTGACGTCACGGGATCAGTTGTGTGGAACACTTTTGCTGCAGAATTGCTCCTGGTTGGGAATGAGCTTGCAGGTAAAACACAGCTATTACGTTATTGCTTTCATGGATGGTGGAAAGAAGGGATCAGGGCTCGGGCTTGACACCCTTCATGCTGACAAGCTGCAGCACATTTCATCTGTGGCCCCAAAACAGGAGAAAAGAACAGAACTCTCTTGTGAGAGTCCCCCAGAGGTCAGTGACCAAGATGACATCCCCTAAAACATTTTATAGTGCTCAGATCAGAGTAAAGTCTGCAATGATTGGTGCACACCCGAGCCTTGAAATACTGGCAAAAACACACAACATATTATTCAACTGCACTTTCGTCATGGCAACAATGAATTGTCACATTTTTCTGTGTTTCCCCCCTCAGTGTTGTTGGCGGTTTAAGCGAGGTGTGTGTGTGCTCAGCAGAAGAAGCTTTTAGTGTGTATGAAACATGCAGGGAGATGATGAAGACCAACGCTGGCTTCATCTCCAGTCGGTAGGTTATGTAATCTGTTGAAAGTGCGGAGTCAGACTGCACTCTGATTGGCTGCTTAGGATGTTTTTATCCTCAGATGTAGCTCCCTGCTCTCAGTGGTCCATGAGTGGAAACTCCATCCAGAGCAGGTGGAGTCGGATGTCTGCTGCAGCACACTGCAGCTGTTCAGCCTGGCAGGAGGAGCCAGCAGGACGGACCTCCGAGGGTCAGAAAGTCACACGAACCCAAACAAAAGTCATTTACACCATGTTTCAGATTTTAACCTCATCCTGCAACTTAAAAACCCTCCGTACTTGATTAGGAATGGTGTGTGTGTGTGACATTTTATAGCAGCACATAATCAGTGATGTTGCTGATCTGTTGAAACAATTACTCACGGGAAGCTGACCTAAAAACACTCCCAGAGATGTCATAGTTGTTCAGTAAAATGTTGATCTAAGAATCATTATGCTGTTTTAAACATGGTGATTGTATAAAATTTTACTTGCAGCAGGAATTAGCAGTGGAGCTAGTTTGCTGTGGCACTTCTAGATCAGTGTTGGGCAAGTTACTTCAAAACTGTAATACATTATTTATTACTTGTTACCCTCATTTTAAAGTACTTCATTGCATTACAGTATTACTGATTTTAAAATGTAAGGCATTACACTACTTTTGCATTACTCTAAGTTACTTTCAACAAAACAACTTCAGTATGAGTTTGGTAATCTGATGCCCGGTGAACTCATGACACATCCGGTGGAAGGTGATGTGGTGTCTGAGCTAGGATTGCTGTTAAAAACAGATCTTTAGAAGGATTGTTTATTAAATAAAAGCAACAACAATCTGTACTCTCGCTGCCATCTTATATTAACTGAGCAGGGAGTGAGGTGGTGGGGGCTCCAAGCCTATATTTGCCTTGGTCCCCAAATGCCTTGATACGGCCCTGGATGTGGGACTGACTTCTGGTGTAATCTGATTCTGTCACATGTATAAATATTAAATGCTTATATATTATTGCTTTTCACTGGTAAAAATGTGTATTGGGGATAAATCTACATACTTCTTTTTTTCTTGATTTTATTTGAATAATTTCCTGCCCTTTCTCTCTCTAACCTTCCTGCATGCTGCATGTTTTCTCCGTCTTCCAGAAAAAACTGTTTCCTAGACTTCCTACTTTCTAACTAATCAGCCAAAGGAATCTTCACATGCGCGGCGGTCCAGCAGCAATGAGTTGAAATCATCGGGGCACAGATTATGAACTCAGCTGAGGCAAAGCACGTCCGAAAAGCACAAAATACCAGAGAATATGCTCTGATATGAACGATCGCAAGTGAATTATTTTGTTTTAGTGGAGCGATTTTGTGAATGTTGCAGCGGCCGCGTGCAGGACGCAGCTGAGCCGTTACCGCGGCGTCCTCTCTGCCCGCAAAGCTGAGTCCATAAATGACGTAATATATGCAGATACTGGATCTTTTTTTGGGTTTCCCACTATTTTAATTTTTAAGGAACACGTCTTGATTCTGGGTTTAAAAATGTGTTGTAATTACCGCGTTACTGACAATTGTACCAAGTAAATATTACCATTTTCTTTCCCTGTAATGCCTTACATTACCACATTACAGCAAAAAGCAATGCATTACAGTAATTAATTACCTTTGTACCGCGTTACTCCCAACACTGTTCTAGATCATGTAGAAACATCATAATATTTAACCATGTGGTGCAAAACATATGTGAAGGTTTATGAAACGGCTCTGACTAAAGTGGTTTTAAGGAGCCATCATAGCTATTCTGCGACTGGGCTCATCCTGACTGGCCGTTAGCACCTCTCTGATCAGAACTAGTCTGTGTTTCTCCAAACTGAGGTTGATGAAAGAGCTTTCTACAGAGGACATTAACTGTTTATGACATTTGCACAGAAACTTTCCTAAGAGAACAGAACTTTCTGGAGATATTTGTTCAAATCTTGAATCTGTGTGGAATATTTTAGCGTCAGCCCTCTGCTGAAGGTTCTGGACCAAATGAAAACTCCTGCTGCTACAGATGACAACAGCCTCCTCCTTGCCCTTCTTAAAGACGCCCTCACAGGAAACACCAGGACGTACCTCATCTACTGCATTAACCCACAAGGTAACAGAAATAAACACGGATGTAGAATTTAGCCTAAACTGACCCAGTTTAATGTCTCTTTGCAGGTATTCTAGACGTTGAGACTCCTTCTGCTCTGGACTTGGCTCAGAGAGTGAGAGGCTGTGCTACTAAGGCTCAGACTGTTTGCTGGAACCCAAAGCAAACTGAGCGAGGGCTTCGCGAAGGCATCATGGAGCTGCAAACCATCATCATGTCTCAGAGGGACAGCGATGTTCACAGCATTCACAAGCTAGCTGAGATGACTCAAAACCTGCAGGTAACCTATACAGAGCCTTCACACGTGGGTCGCTCAAGGGTGATGCTGGAGGTGTGGCTTATGATCCAACAGATGGTAAAGAATCAGTCCTGGAAGAAGAAAAGGGAGGAGTCAGAGAAGATAAAAGTCAAAATCAAGGTTCGATTCAAAAGATTTTTTATAACTTTCTCTGTTGAACAGGAGGAAAATGACAAAATTATTGTTGCTTCCATTTAGCAGAGTTGTAAATCCTCCCAGAGCAATCAGCAGATCTCTGGAGGTCGTCAAGCCGATCACAACAACGAGAGTGCAGAAACCGTTAAATATCTGCAGGAGCAGCTGAGACGAGAAATTGAAGAACATCTCAGAGGTGATAAGCTGTGATCTAAATAAATGAGTCCAACCAAGACTCGTTGTCCACGTGTTTCTGCTCTCAGAAGGTAGAGGCAGCGCAGAGAAGGTCCAGGAGAAGGTGGCGAGAATCCAGCAGCTGAAAGAAGCTCTGAGAGAAGAAACACTGAAGAGTGGAGTTGTTCCAGAGGAATCCCAGCTCTGTCTTCAGGTAACACACACACACACGCGCACACACACACGCACGCACGCACACACACACACACACACACACGCACGCACACACGCATGCACGCACTCACACACACACGCACACACGCATTCACACGCACTCACTCACACACACACACACGCACACACACGCACACACGCACTCACATGCACTCACTCTCACACACACACACACGCACACGCACACACACTCACACGCACTCACTCACACGCACGCACACACACACACACACACACACACACACACACACACACACACACACACACACTCACACACGCACACGCGCGCACACACACACACACACACACATGATTCCTCTGTGCTTCAGCGTGACTTCTTACATTGTTTCTGTTTGCAGGGTCATTTCATATTTTATCTAATTAATGAATCATGAAACTACAGCAAGTCACAGTCCTAGTCTCTGCACCATGCAGACGAAGCGTTTATTTAAATGAGTTAAAACAGGTAAATTATTATTAGATGTAACTGTAAAAAGCACAAATTAGAAGGTCTTTGGGCTGTGGCACTCATTTCTGATGCAAGTGTGCAGACTTCATATACATGAACCCGAACAGTCTAATCTGCGCGGTCTGATTAAATACATCTCTACCTTTTCCCCTCTGCTTGAGAAACCCATAAGCTCCTTAAATGTCCTCCTCACTTTAAGTAGCAGCTTTCTTCGAGGCTTTGTGAAGAACTCATCAAGCAGGAGCCTTAAATTCATGGAGAAGTTGTTCTAATCGTTGCCTCTGGTGGGGAAGTGTTAGTGTGCACAGCCCCTTGTCTGAAACCCCGTCCACAGGCTCAGTCAATAGTCCATTCAACATCTAAATAAGATTTATGCAAGCCTGAGTGGGCTACACATGCTAAGGCATTTATTTTGCCAATTTAATGATTAGTCTCAGCTGGAATACAATGAAGCGCAGGAGCGGAGGAGGCAACTCAAGGAGGATCATGCGAGATTAATGCAGGAGGAGGTGGTGAGGATGGAGGAAGACTTGGCCCGGGAGCAGCCACCGGTGAGATAATGAGATAACCTGTTGTTTGACATTCTGTTTGTGATCCGTCTCTGCTCAGGATGCTGAGTTGATTTAAATAAATACAAGGATGAATTTACCAAGAGATGACAGCATTTCTTATTTATTCCTGTTGGATAAATCACTGCTCTGTTAGACAGAAGGTCCTCAGAGAGAGCTGCTGGTGCTGAGCAGAGAGAGACGGATTCTGGTGCTGCAGATGGAGGCCCTCCGTACCGAGGCCCAGCAGGCGGAGACAGATCTGCAGGATCAGCACCGGAGACACCAAACAGAGCTGCACTGTCTGAGGGAGGAGAGCCTGCAGGTCAGAGCTCTGTCACACTGATGCATCATGTTATTACTGCTCTCTCTCTCTCTCTCACACACACACACACACACACACACACACACACACACACACACACACACACACACACACACACACACACACACACACACACACACACACACACACACACGTCAACATTATTTGAGACACTGAGGGCTGATATGTGAAAATGCTTTGAATCTGTTGGGCCCATCTTCTGTTGAGTTTGTGAGTTCTTCTGCTTATTTTCCTCAAGGCGCCTCATTTTCCTCCCACACAGTTCAAAGATGCGTTCAGTGAATCTGAATATGTTGTAGGAGTTATCGTCCATCACTTTGATGACTTTAGGGTCTTTTAGGCTGAAATGGTCTCCAACACACTAAAAATGTCCTCAGAATAAAGTGAGATGCGCAAAACGATGAATAAGTTTTCATTTAGGACAAAAAGTCTGTTCTGAAATGCCTTTGAAACAGTTAAAAGGGACATATTATAACATTTGTCTTAAATTATAATAGATCTTTGCTTTATAAAAACATGTTCATGAGGTTCTTTGCACATATTTCCTCTCACATTCCTGCAGTTTTATTTTTGACATTTTCAGTGCCTTCCAGAATGAGCTATTTCAGGGCTCTGTCACTTTAAGAAAACAAGCTAAAGCAGGCCACGCCCACCCTTCCATCCAGCCTGCTATGAGAAGCTCTTATATCTGGGAGGGACTTGGAGTAGAGCTGCTGCTTCTCCTGTGTAGACATGTGAGAGGTGATTAATTTCTAGTGTTCTCATTTGTGACATCACAAATGGGGACTTTTAAAACTACTTGTTTCAGGCACATAACTCCTAAAACCAAACACTGACAGAAAATGGATGAACGGATTTTTTCCCACATTTAGAATGTTTAGAGGCAGCAGACCCACGTGGTCACACAAAAGGATGCAAGGTATCTATTTTGCATATGTCCCATTTAAATATCAGATGAGGGACAGCAGTGGCTCAGGCAGTAGAGAAGGTTGCCCAGTAATCGAGAGGTTGCAGGTTTGATCCCAGCTCCGACCAGAGAATGCTGCTGTTGTTTCCTTTGGCAAGACACTTAACCCAAGTTGCCTGCTGGTGGTGGCCGGAGGGACCGGTGGCGCCTGTGTTCAGCAGACTCACCTCTGCCAGTGTGCCCCATGGCTATAGCTCATCACCATCAGTGTGTGAATGTGTGTGTGTGGATGGATGACTGATTGTGAGAACCCTAACGTCCACTGCACACTGGAAGCAAAGGCGGTGCAGAACGGTTCACTGCACTGAAGTGCACACGGGGAGTCTCAGCAGCGAAGTGGCTTCTCTGCCGTGCTCCTCACTCGACTCGCGAGATCACAAAATCCCTCGAGACTTCAGGTCACGGTTCGTTTGTGCAATCCGCAATTAAACCAAAAAGAAGTAAATCAAGTTTTATATCTCTGTTTGATGTCATATGCAGTGTTGGGAGTAACGCCGTTTAAGTATAACGGCGTTTCTAACGACGTTCTTTTATAGGTAACGGAATAATCTAATTAATTACTTTTCCCGCCATTGCAACGCCGTTACCGTTACTGGGGACGGAAGGTTGTGCGTTACTATGTGCTTGTCGAACGTTGAGCAGCAGCGTGAGGCTTTCTGACCGCCACACTTCAGCTGCAGCCAGGGAGAGAGAGAGGTGTCGGTAACGCACTTACAAACACGATGATGATTGGCCGGGTGGGCGGAGACCCTCACGGTCTCAGTCACATATGCTGCATACACGGCAAAGCAATGACGGGAATAACGCCGTTTAAAATAACCGTGTTAATAAAAAATATTTCTTTCAGTAACGAGCAATCTAATTAATTACGTCTTCTTTTATCAAAACGTCGTTTCTGTTACAGATAAGAAGCAGCGCGGTGTGTTGAAGCTGTCATCAGCTGATCAGGAGCTAGAGGTAGATGTTTTCATCCAAGCGCATCACGGCCCGTGAAGAACGAGGAAGACATGATGAATATCTACGGCTGCAGACCCGCAGATTCGCTGCTGCAGGTGGGAATCTGCAGGTATGCAGCCGTGCCCTTCTTAGCGTGACAGCGGGACGTCCCGAAGGTCCGCTCACCTGTTCACCGCTCAGACGTCCTGATCTTCTACCTTCCTAGATCATCCAGCTGTAACCTGTTTCTGATCATGTCTTTAGTCCCGCTGTAACACTGATGCATCAGTCTCAGACGGCATGGAGCTCAGGTGTTATTAGAACTACCTGTGTGTGTTTACCACCCAGCTTCAGCTCTTCTGTGGTCGGGTCTGACCCAAGTTAGTAAATGTAAGTCCTCCATCAGGCTTGTGCCTCTTCTAGTGTCATTTTAAAGGGTTTTATTTATTTATTTAACCGTTACTAGATTAGCAGCAACAGAAATGCTACTAAAAACACACATTTATGTGAAGCTGGAAAAATTAGAATACTGTGCAAAATTACATTTATTTCTGTAATTTAACTAGACCGAGATACCATTTAAAGGCTCGGGAACCTTTACAGGTGTTTCTATTTGCAATTTTAAATTTTAGCTGATTGGGGTCTTGTTAAATATCACACAGTGACCTTTTAATAGTATAGATAAGTGTAATGCTCCTATTAGTAGTTCCTCCTGTTAAGTGCTTATTTGTTTAAATTATTCAGGTTTATAAAAAACATTTTAACATACATTTTATTATGTTCCAGTCATTAGTCATTTATATTTTACTATTGTAGTAATTATTGCATTCTTTAATGAAAAAAGTAACTAAGTAGTTATTTTTGTTGGTAATTAGTTACTTTTATGATCTTGTAACTCAGTTAGTAACTGAGTTATTTTTTTGACAAAGTAATCAGTAACTATAACTAATTACTTTTTTAAAGTAACGTTCCCAACACTGGTCATATGTGATGTTGTTCCTCTCCACCGCCAGGATTAAAGCCATGGAAAAACACTGCTGCACTTCTGGGATGATGCTGTGAGAAGAAGTCGTTAGGTCACACCTAAGCTCCATATACATGAAAATGCGTCACGGCAACACTTTTATTTTGAAAATTACCAGGCATTTTACACTGAAACCGTGTGTGATTTCCTGTCTAGCCCTATGTCGATTGGGGTGATTGACGCAAAGCGGCACGCGGAAAAAAAACAGAACCCGATCCTATTTTAGCCACATGCAGTTTCTGAAGATTGGTTTGTTAGGCTCCATAATGGATTCTGTTTGAAGCGGAGCCGTTCTGCGCCGCTTTTGCTTCCAGTGTGCAGCAGGGGTACAGGCACTATCAAATACAGGCCATTTACCAGGATTAAACTGGTTGTTGTTGTCATAAATCATTAATGACAAATGATTTTAAAATTGATGTTAGGACTTGAAGCTGCACAAACACCCTTCCATTGTCCCTTCAGTCAAACAGCTTGGTGAAAATTCCTCAGCTGCCTCTTCCAACGCTCCGGCTGCCCGTGTTCCTGTGTTCTAGGTGTTCAGAGTGTTTCGTCAGGTCAGCGAGGAGCAGAGGAAGCTCTCAGAAGGCCGCTACAGGAGTCTGCTCCTAGAAGCTGTGCAGGACGCCGTCCACCTGTCAGCCCAGAACCAGCAGCTGCAGGCTGACAACAAACAACTGCACAAAGGTCAGTTTCTCAGCAGGTGGTTAAATAACTGTCGGATTTGTAACAGCCTTTTAAAATGTTCAATTTGTGTGTTTTTTTTAGCACTTGGAGAGATAAAGGATGCTCTTGTTGTTCGGGGTGATCCCAGAGCTGACCTGATATCCCAGCAGGAATAAAACACATAATCCATCTGCTTCACGGTTAACAATTAAACACCTGAAATTAAAGAATGGCTTTGACTGTTTATTATTCATCAGCTCAACATAACACTTCCTGTTTGATAGTCACTTCCAGTTAAAGGTAGAAATGATCTGTAACAGCATGCATGAACCTGTCTGTTGGTTTCTGACTGAAAAAGGCAAATTAAACAAAACATATGTGAAAATAAACAAAAACAAAAGAACTAGAAAAGGCGGCATGAGCTTTGTAGATTTTATCAGTTAACAATGAGTGAACGCTCTGCTATCTATAGTAAAGGTAGGCTGCCAGTGCGATGGTAGCACAGGTGATGGGGAAGAGGGGAGTGAGCTGCAAACCCAGCACGGCCCAGGAGAGCAGAGCGTTAACCAGCATGGAGGAGGAAATAACAAATAATCTGGTAATCCCACTGCCGTGCTTTAGCACCACAGACATCAGAAGTCCGTTTGCAACCTGCCCTGCTATGATGACCCAAACAACTCCTGAGTAACCCTCCAAAAAGCTCTCGTCTCCTGCTATGGAAGAGAAGGAGGACAGCCCGTTGATGGCCACTCCAAACATGTAGAGGTAGAGATTCTGCAGGCTGAGAGGCAACTTCTGGCTCTTTAGGACGCGCTCCGTATAAACTGCTGCCAGCCCCGACACAAAACAGTACACCAGCACAAGGAAAAGCCCCCAAGCCGTGATGTGAAGCCTGGGCCTGTCTTCTGCTTCGGCCAGAGCAGGTTCCTCCAGATCCAGGCTGCTGTAGCTGTGGCAGACCCCTGCAGCCATGAGGAGCCCCAGAGCTAACCACTGGGCCCGCTGCAGCCTTTTCCCCAAACAGAAGGAGTACAGCATGGCGGTGGAAGCAATTTTCAGGTTAGAAAGTATTTGGTAGGAGCTTGGGTCCATGTAAGCCTGCATCAGAACAGCCAGGTTGTTGTTGAGCGTGTAGAGAACAGCAGGAAATGCGTAGGGGGCCACGAGGAGCAGGTTTGGAGGAGCAGTCAAGGCAGATGTTGCTCCAGTGAGAAAAAGACTCAGCAGAGAGATGAGGAGTTTAGCTAACTCAATCATCAGAACACACGAGGAGGAGCTGAACGGGACTCGACCTTCCACCTTAGTGAGAGAGATGAGTGGCGCATGAGAACCATAGATGAGGACCATCAGGCCCAGGAGGACTCCCCATTTAATCCTGCTGCTCAACCACTGTCTCTTGATCCTGCCTGGGGAGTGGGGCCCCACACTCTTAATCACAATCATCCTCAGAAACACAACAAACACCTGATTTCTAACAATGGCTCATTTCAAATTATTTTAAATTTAAATAAAAACAAAGTTATTTAGTTATGCAACGTGTTTCAAGCAGAATATGGTGAATTTAAGCGTGGACTACATGAAAGTTCAGAGGGTTTAAATAGCTGCTCCAGGCAGATTACATCATTCAAAGAAAAAGGACTTAAAGGCACAGAATTCTGCACAATCACTTGCAGCTATGTGGGGATGAAGTGATGAACTGAACCCACAACAATACAAAAATAAAGTCTTGTCTTTTCGGTCCCTAGTCAAATCCAGTTAAAAACCAGTAAAAACCCAAAATGATCCACCAGCTTGAATTACTTCGGCCCCTTCTTCAGGCTGTTCATGTACTCTTCAACAGTCCTCTCGATGTTAGGAACCCGATAGTTCTGAGCGGCGTAAATGCCAGTGGCAGTTCCCAGCAGCACTCCCAGGATGGCCGAGGACCGGAGCTTGGCCACCATATAGCCGGCCAAAAGACCCTTCAGAAACGGAGATCCCAATACAAAGCTGCCCTACAAGAGCATCACACACACACACACACACACACACACACACACACACACACCTGTAAAGTAACTTGTCTTATTTACCACTGTTAAAATCCTGTTAAACAGATTCTACAGGATCTGTAACAGGATGTAATTAAAGTTGCACCTTGTTTACATTGATGCTGAAGTCATGAAGCTCACCTGAGGGACTCCAGCAGACGCCTCCCTCTCTACTCTCCTCTTGATCTCCTCCAGCTGAGTCTTGAGCAGGGTCAGATCTTTTAGCTGCTTTAGTGGATCCTGGAGTTAAAGACATTTAGTTACATGTTTATTAGGAGCCAATGTGGTGACTTCAGAGTAAATATAACCCGTGATGAGAGACCAAGCTGTACAATAACCTGGAGTTAGTTACCAACAGGATTCAGGGTTTGGCTAGCTAACCACACATATCCTCTCGAGTTTTGTTTACCGGTAGACTCATTTAATGACGAATTAATCCATCTCTCTGACCATTTTAAAAGGGATATTCTACTATGATCTATACTGTGTTTTATACTAAAGTATAATTTTTGATAGTGTAGCTTAACTAGTTATTTATGTAAACATTCAGCGATTCGCTCACCTTGTCATTCGCCATTTTTAATCATTCCGTTGATTTGATTCGTAAGACTGAGCGAATTTAGATCGATTAGTTACGTCTGATGTTGAAACTGTGCTGCGTTTGGGTCCATCGGTATTCAGAGCTTCAGTGCTTAGATCGATGTGGATATATTTTAGAGTACAGCAATATGCTGATGCAGTTTTTAAAGCTGTTCGGAGCTTAGCAGAAACATTATACTCTTATAATCACAATTCCGATTATAGTGGATGTTAAGGTTGATTCATTTTTTCGCATGAATTTAACTTCGAATTCCGAATTGATTAAACGTATATGTTAACAAATAAAAATGTATGGCAGTGAAAAGTAGATAAACAATTAATTAAACCTGTAAATTATGTTTAAATGGAAGATAAAATTCAGTGAGCACATGCTTTTTTAATTAAAAAATATTTTTAGTGACGCTGTGAGAAATAAGGGTAGTTGTTTTTGAATGGAAATATTTTCAAGTTGAAGCGAATATGAAGTAGCCTGGCAAGCCAGACTAAATAAATATAATATTTAAAATGTATTTAAATTATTCAAACTTTGCAAAGTAAGAATTTGGTCTAGTTCACTAGGCTAAATATGAAGAGCACAAATCAAAGAAATGTGAGACCGGATCTGAACTGAAGACAGAGAAAGATTTAAATAGGAGTTACAAAAGATCCCCCAGTTTCAACCCCATGATTTTTAAAACAATTTTCTATAATCTCAGTTCTTCTACAAAGTGTGGTAAAGTGTTGTACATGTTGGATCATTTCCAGGTGAAAAAACAAAGTGATCTGCTGACAAAATGACTTAATTTTAAGATTTTATGTTAGGGTTAGGGTTCAATGTGGATTCATTAGATTAATCATTTGTCTTTACAAACGGCACAAACAAAAAGAAAACGACCTGAAACAGATCTGCCTTGATACTCTGACGAGCTAGAAATCAGAACAAGTGATTCAGGTTTCTCAGCTAGTGGCAACTTCTAACTTGTGCTTCTAATTATAGAGTTACAGTCAGGTCCATAAAAATTGAGACATGGACACAATGCTAACATTTTTGGCTCTATACACCACCACAATGGTTATCAAATGAAACAAACAAGATGTGCTTTAACTGCAGACTGTCAGCTTTTATTTGAGGGTATTTACATCCAAATCAGGTGAACGGTGTAGGAATTACAACAGTTTGCATACGTGCCTCCCACTTGTTAAGGGACCAAAAGTAATGGGACAATTGGCTTCTCAGCTGTTCCATGGCCAGGTGTGTGTTATTCCCTCATTAACCCCATCGACATATAAATACTGGACAATTCATTTCCATAGGCTCCAATAACACGTTTTTGAGGCCAAATGGGAGGTGGCCACCACCGCCATTTTGACCATGTCACAGGTTCCGTCAAGCCCAGACAATTCCACAAAAGAGAAGAGAGGTGGAGCTGAGGGTGGGGCTGTAGGGCTGGGATCGACTGACGACACCCGGTCGAACTAACTACAAGCTAACCTGAAGCTAACCCAAAGCTAAGCGGAGGTGGGAGCTAAGCTAATGGAGGTAGCAACCTAGCTACAACCGGAGTTAACTGTGCACAACACCAGAGCTTCTGAGTCAGAGATACGCCGGGCTGACCGCTGAAGAGAACCGGGTGGAACACAGAGGTCCCCGAGACCTCCACAAGCCGGCAGCCGCACAGCTGACAAGCGCCGCTGCGATCTGAGATGCGCAGAGCTGCCGCTGGGGAGAAACGGGTGGAAAGGTTTCCATCCCAGAGCTCCACAAGCCGTCAGCCCGTGCAGCAGACAGAAGCCGCGATCAGACAGAGATGCGCCGAGCTGCTGGGAGGGGAGAACTGGGTGGAAAACATCGGTCTCCCGAGAGCTCCACAAGCCGATAGTCAGAACCCAGCTCCACCAAAATGTTATATTTCAACCCATTTTCTAAAGTGCAGCATCATGTTAAATGCACTGGGTTTTACCCTATTACATTTAAATTTCATGGTTAAACAGTACATGTTAAAATCTAAGCTCAGCTCGGCAGTGACCTAAAATACATAAATATAATTTTACTTACCGAAAAAAATGAAGTGGAGGCTCCTCGGACGCTCTATTAGTGCAATTAATGCCACAGCAAGTCATTTTGTCCAACAATTGCACAAAAAATATCCAAAAAAGAATACACACACACAGAGACTCAAAATCCCGGAGCAGTTTCCATGCCAGACCGAGGATCTACTGAGGCCTTTCCACGGAGCTAGCTCTGTGGTCACGTGGGTCTGATGCTCATTAATTATACAGAATTTTAGGCTTTTAATACACTTAAACAGAAGAGAGACAAAAAAATTCACCCCCTCAGAGTTGTCATGAGTGTAAACTAGATAATTTAAACCAAAAACATGTTTTGGTACCAGGCTGTAAACATGTTTATTTCTGCTGTGAAATTGGTATTTTTAACATGGGAGTCAATGAGGATTTGCTCGCTTCTGACACCAGCCCCCAGTGGATCAGTTCAGTTTCAGTTCAGTTTTAGTTTATTTGTCATATGCAAGTTAGCACAGGGTCAACATTGCAATTAAACGTGTATGACGAGCAGCGGTCTCTCAGCAACATGATACAGGAGAAAATATAATAAAATATAATAAAAATATAATAAAATAAAGCAAAAAAAATATAGTAAGGAGCAAAATATTAGAGAGACATGGTAAAAGGGAAAAGATGACTAAATATATATGTGTCAATAAAGAAAATCCTGAAAAGAAATATGACGGGAGGGCAGATGGGATATTGCACAGGAATGAGCTGCAGAAAATTACAGTATTGCACTTTAGATATAAATTACAGTATGAGGGTGGAACTGCAATTTTTGGTACTTCCGGGTTGGCCTCAATTTTTTTCACCCGCATTGTGGGGGCTTGGTGATTATCCCAATTACAATGAGCAGATAAAAGGTCCAGAGTTCATTTCAAGTGTGCTATTTGCATTTGGAATCTGTTGCTGCCAACTGTCCCTTACCAAAAAGAAGTACACAGAAGTATACTTGAAGTATACTAAAAATGAATACAGTATACTTCCAAGTTTACTTTCAATGTACTTATCAGAAGTATAGTTATCCGAGTACATTTTTTAAATACTACTAAGTATACTTTAATACATACTTACATTAAAGTTTACTTACATTTAGACTATACTTGTACTTGACTCTATCAGAAGTATATTTCACCAAGTAATGTATAAGTATACTTAATATATATATATATATATATACTTATATAATATAATATATATAAGTATATATATAATATATATACTTATATATATAATATATAAGTATGTATATATATAATATATAAGTATGTATGTATATATATATATATATATATATACTTTTATATATATATATATATATATATATATATATATATATATATATATATATATATATATATATATATATATATATATATATATATATATTTGGAACTTTTTATTTTTGAATTAGAACAACAACATTTACATGGAGATGCATTTGAATTTCTTCTTCCCTTCTCCAGGGCAGTGTTTCCCTGAACAAAGTTCGAATTTCCTTGTGGCCATGAGATCTATCCAACTTAACCAAGTCACCAATCATTACATATAGTTCTGACAAGCTTTCTCTGTATTCATCTTATCTGCTCTCTACTACATTCTACATTTTACTTTGATCTAGCTAAATAACTCACCCAAAAGACAAAAATACATAAATAAAAAAAATTAATAATAATAATTTTCACATGAGAGTACTATCTTTCTAACATTTGTTTTATAGGTTCCCAATTTTTTTCAAATTTCCCTAGTCCCAGTCATAGTCTTGCATTAATTTGTTCCATTTTGTAGACCTGTCTAACTCTGTCTCTCCACTGTGCCACCCTTGGGGGTTCTGTGTCCAGCCATAAAACTGTAATACACTTCTTGGCAGTCATAAGCAGAATTTTGATTAAGTATGTCTCCATTACGTGTGTAAGATAGCATTCCCAGTACAAACCATTTTAACTTAAATTGTAATTTCACCTTCAAGGTTCTTTCAATTTCTCCTTCCCAGAATGGTATGAATTTAGGGCAGTCCAAAAGTATATGTGAAAAGTCTCCCACTAGCCCGCATTTTCTCCAACATAAATTTGAAACATTACTATTTAGACATGATAAGTGGAGTTTTAAAGTATATATAATATATATACTTATATATATATATATATATATATATATATATATATATATATATATATAATATAGAAGTATATATTATTCACCTTCCATTCAAATTCCCTCCAAGACAGACTATTAGTTAGTTCATGGCCTGCTTCAAGTGTTTCCTCCCATTCCTCATCTGTTATCATTATGGTCACTTCCAGTTCCCATTTTTCTTTAATATCTGTATTCTTAACAATCAAATCCTGTTGTAAAGCTTTATATATTTTGAAATCAGTCCTTTTTTTTGACATGTCCTTTCTGTTTAACACAATCACTTCCTCCATATTAAGTTTATCCTTTTTTGAATCTTTGCCTTATTTTGAAATAACTAGTCAAGTGAGTATTGAGTGGTACTGGACTTCTGTAAAAATAATTTTCATAGGGATGAAAAAAGTACTCTGTCTGCCTGTCCTAAATAACATATGAAGCATGAAATTACGAATTATTGTGAAATTACACGCACAGGAAGTGCTTTTATTTTGTAGCATTTGCTCAGTCAGCTCTCGAAGCTTCTCAGCAGACTGAGAAGAGCAAGGGTTGGAGGTGCATTAACAGTCGGAGGTCGCGCTTCTGTTCTTCATCTGCACTTGACAGTCACTGGTTCTGCACCACTGAGCTAAATGTAAGTAGCCACCATAAAAGTTGCTTAAATGTTTTAAATGTTTTTAAGACGGACATGGTGAATAATGTTGGCCACGTAGCAAGCTAATATGCTAAGTCATTGCATGAGTTAGCTGTGTTATTAACTTTGTGTGCGACTAAAGTATTAAATGAAATGAGCAGCGCTATCTCATTATTAAAGGTTAGCATTACTTTAGGTACTTTTTTTATTAGACTTCTAGAGACTTATTCCCTCCATTTTTGCC